GGATGAACGGATGATCCGACACTCCCGGCGGAGAGACCAGGGGCCCGCCGCGCGCTGGATAACGATCTGGCGGACGGCAACTTGCTGGGCCCCCCCAGAGCCTGAGGCCCCGGGCGCCCGCACCGCCTGTAGTTCCGCCACTGTTCAGAACACTAAAGAAATGTACCCTCAGGTAAACAATCATTTGCAAACCACTTACAGATCTGAAGCTGTTGGTATACTGTATATAATACTTCTACACAAAAGTGCATTTTATAAAAGAAACCCTTATAACATTCATATTAGGTCTCCAAATGCCATTCTTCTGATAGGGACCTAAATCTGGTATTTTACAAGTATTCAGTGGCGGTTATAAGAAGAGGGCTACTATTTATTTGTATACACTCTCTACAATCACAATCTACAAGACAGGATGGAGCAGAAAGGCATATTGTACAGCTAATTTTTTTCTAGGACTACAAAGGACTGCTAAATGTAATAATCAATGATAGGATTTGGGTGTGCATTTACAATATAAGTGTTAAATCCACATTCTAAAAAAAAAAATTCTGAAGACTGTTGCAGTTCTGTATTTGGAGACAAGTACCTTTCCTTTCGCTTTGCTCTTTTTCCTTTTTCTTTTTTAGAAATTTGGCCATTGGATCGCCGTCCCTTTCCTGTTCACGCAACATGAGATCTAGGTCGGCGTCATCAATATATCGAGCCAGAGGCTTTGCTTTCTCTTTAGCGGCATCTTGCATGCTCTGACGCTGCTGTTCTTTCTGTACCAGTCTAAAAGAAATTGCACATTACCACCACGCTATTCTGCGGTCTACTACCTGCATTATAGCCGTTTACAGTCATTCAAATCATCAGGTCTCATACCCTTTGCCCCACTGGGCATACATCTCATCGCGTTTCTCTTGTGCGGCTTGTTTCTGAAGCTGCTCGTCACGTTCTATTCTTAAGTCTCTCCGTTTGCCGCTTTTGTCTCTGAAAATCGTTTCTGTATTTCTGGAATCCTCTGCAAAGAAAATGTATTACTAAGTTAGAGCAGTTTACAAATATTTACTGGCGTTATCCATTTAATATGGTAAAGAATATAATTATGTGGGAATTATACTGTTCACACTACAGTGGATGTGATGTGCTTCACTGCTACACACATGCAACACACTCAACAAACATCAAAGTTCACCATGTATTCAAATTTGTATTTCATCCCAAAAATTTCCATACACCACTAGTGTCTCTTTCTGATTCTTTTCTTCAAATCTCTACACATATAGTCTATCCTTATGTCTCACAGACTTGACTACGAGAGTATTTGTTGTATCTCAAATATTTCTGTTACTGCTATCAAATCTGTCTTCATTTCTGTCACATGATTTTTTTTCTCCTTTCAACCTCACCCTTTATTCTATCTGAGAGATTATATATATATATATATATATATATATATATTCATTACATTTTATTTTTATTTATTAATTCATTTTTTAGTAAATATTTTTTTTTTTTTACTTTACTTTTAGGGGCTTCGGGGAAATATTAGGGGTCTAAACAGACCATATATTTCCCTTTTAAAATAGAAAAAGACACAAAGTCCTCTCTCTTTTTCTGTATCCCCTGATATAAATGAACAGGAATCCTCTATACTGAATGTTCCTGTCCATTCATAACATTAGAATATAGTATGTTTACTATAACTACAACTATGAATAAACAGAAGGTGATGCAGATCACTCCCATTTCATAATTGAGGATATAGTACACATACCATATCCTCAATTATCTACAAACACCCAGCGATCACTGATCACTGAGTGTTTGTACTCGCTCTCCTCTCTGACACGCTGTCACAGGAGGCTGATGGACACCGCTCTGCCGGACTGTGATAGGAGGCTGAGCGGTGTGGGAGGAGAGACACCGGCCGCTTACAGTGTCCTCCCGCAGCGCTCGGCCAGCTGTCACACTTTCTCTCCTCCCCGCTGGGACACAAAGCAGGGATGCGCCGATGTATCGGCAGGAAAATGGCACTTTCGCCATTTAGCCAAAAGTGCCATTTTCGGCCGATACGTTTTGGCGGCCGATATATGGGTGCATCCCTAATATAGAGAGAGAGAGAGAGAGATAGATAAACACACACATACACAGATGCATAGATAAGTGGATGTTTCATCACATTTGTATCTTCATCAGGGAAAAGTGCCATGTGTGTAAGTACTAGAGCGCATTGTGCATAAATTGTGCAATAAAATGTCTGCAACTTCACCTCTATTTCTTGCCTTCTAGGCTCCTACATGCATAGACATGATGACATCATTGTGCTATGTGCATAAACATGTTAGGCACACAACGTATATATCATGTACATGCCATTCACCGCTCCACTTTATCTGTGCAGTCCCCGTTTGAAACCTTTTGCTTTCAGGCAAACCCGTTGAGCCGTCATCTTAACGGAGGGGATTCAAAATTATATCATGCAAACAGGATAGTCCAATATTTTTTTTAAAAACAGCATAATAGAGGCATTTAAAATTTCAAAAACATGCAATATAAATATTTGTAATAAATAATCACATTCACCATTTTGAAGATCTTTGGTAATTATTAAACCTTTTATAGAGGTTTTAACAAAATGATCAGTTGATTCTATTTGTTGTGCGTCTCAAATTAGGTTATTAAAGGGTATCTATTGCCAAAACATTTTTTTTAGTTTTGAACAATGTAGGGAGGGATTAGCCGTGGGCATTATGGAGCAATTCATCCTCAATGTTCATAACAGAGGTAATGTAGTTCTAGTCAGATTCTCAGCAGATCTGCAGTGATCTGGCAGTCTTTCAGCCTTCTAATGTAAGCAGGGAGCACATGCTCTGGGACTTATATTAGAGGGCTGAATGGCTGTCATGTCACTGATGGGAGAAGGAACAGGAAGAGCTAATGCTGCTAAAAACTCACAAGAATCTGTCTACAGCTCCTCTATTATGAAATTTAAAGGAGGAGAACTATGAGGTGAGTGATTTCCATTCATCTTCATAGTTAGAGCTGACGTGTGACAATGAAACTGTCACAGGTCGGCTCTATTGATCAGAAAGTGAGTTAACACATAACGTCGCTCGCTCACTTACCGGTCATCTCCCTGCAGAGAGCAGTGACCGTCAGTCATTATTCCCTGCAGGTATTCCCCCCTCCCCTCTCCAATCCTTCAGCGCGGAGTGTAGGAAAGGACCGGGGAGGGGGCGGTCACAGCTGGCTCTGTATCTAGATAGGCAGAGCCAGTTGTCAATCAGCCAGCTGTGTGGATCTCGGCTGCGGCTCTCTCAGTATCCGCTATATACTGATTTTTGGGTCACCGGAGGAGGTTAGTATATGTCCTCCCGTGACCCTAAAGTCATTTTAAGGATAAATTGCCCCACAGTGCTTGCAGCTACAGAGGTTGGAAAGGACTTGTATTAAACACTTATTACAACTTATTTCCTGACCACAGTTTTACTTTACATGCGTTTGTCAGTTTGCAGAGTCCAAATTACAAAATACTGTCTATAAAGAAGTGGTGAAACTTTCATGATTTGGAACATCCCATGACTTTAACTGCAGACGCTTTTTGGGCAGGCTGACATAGCAGAGTTAAGTCACAATACAGGGACACAACCAACCACTCATTCCCATTGGTAGGGCATGGTCATATAAAGCTCAGAGGGCAATAATTATGACCGACAGGGAAGTGTGGGAAACCACTGTCACTGCCCTACAAGGTAAAATGGGATTTTCAAAAAACACAAAACCCTGAGTGCCATAAATACAACATTCAGGAACAACGATAATGCAGAACAACTTGTTTATTTCCTGGTGGGAACTGCCACATATAAGCACCTTGGAGCATCAAAGGAAACAGAAGAACTGCAATGTCAGTCATGGGAGCAGGGGTGTAACTGAGAGGATATTAATCCAGTTTAGACTGTTGCATGCGATACCCAATGTGACTGACCCAAAGGCATTCTCAACTTCACTCAATGCATACAAAGAATTGTTCTCCGACCGGCCTGACAACACTAAGAGGAGAACTGAAGAACCAGTGTGAATTACAGCTACAGATCCTTACTCACAATAAATATACTTTAATATATCTGTAGATTTCACAAAACAGATCCCACAATTGATTCATGTGGGGCTATATTTCTCGAAAAGATATGGTTATTGATCTGTGAGTAATTCAGCTTTAACAGAAAGTGTCCCATTGTCCGGCAGGGAAGAATGCCGGAACGGCTGACAACTCGGCTCAGGATCTCAGTGTAGTGAGTTGATAGTGTAACTGTTGACGGATCACTACAGGATCTTAGGAGCTCACTGGATTTCTGGCAGCATCAATAGGTATTTTTCTGTAATTGCAGATTTCGCCCAGACATGCACTTTAACCATAGACGGAAAGAAGAAAGTTTTTATGTTTTTCACACGTAGCATTGGGAACAAGCCATTCAGTCTCCTTATAAGAAGCACCATCTTACTAAATGTATTTAGGAAACATTTGAGCAACAAAAAGGTTAAGGAGCCATTGCTCAATACCATAAATAACTATGGCATTGCTGTGCAAGAAAAACTGCAATACTTCATATTCTGTGTTACTCCACTCACGTTCCAAATTTTTGTTGCTTTTCTGAGCTCTCCTCTCTTCTTCCTTCTCTTTTCTCAAAACCTCAGCAGAAACAAGGCCAACTGTGCCACCAGACAGCATCTGAAATATTCAAAGAAGTCATTTATATACTGAAATCAGTGTTTCCTCTGGTATCATCTAGCTGGTTTTGCATACATAGCTTGAGAAAGAAAAATCTTCAAACCTATAAATGTTAATAATATTAAAGAACTGTACCTTAGATACAATTCTTCTTGAAATACACCACTGTGCCAATTTGGATTAGTGACCTACCATCACCCACTAACTGGCTGAGGCTTTTATGACGATCTCATGGCTTTTGTTAGCCAAAAACAGCTTACCTTGGAGTCTCCACTTCTCTGTGAGGATGAAGGACCTCTTTTGGACTCGGCTCTGCGGCGAGAGGGTGAAACGTCTGAGTCCCTGCAATCTGTACGACGTGGAGGGGATAGATCGGAGTCGGAACCTTTTCTCTGGACATGACGAGCAGGTGACAGGTCAGAATCTGAACCCCTCTTCTGGGCTTGCCTTGGAGGAGACAAGTCGGCGTCAGAGTCTCTCCGTCGTACTGTGGAAAAATTAGTAAGGTTCAAAAGTTTTAATCTGAGAATTGGACACATTGTAATGTGAACCTTACAGCTACGTGGCCCTAGAGTTCTCACCAAATGCCACTTATCAGTCAGAAATAAATTACAATTTATCCAAAGCCAAAAAAACTTTTATTTGCAATTTAGCCTAGACTGAAGAGGATGCTGGCTCCTGAACAGCATATTCATTTGTCCATCCCTAGTATATCCAGAGCCAAAACTTTCTCATTTTTGATTAAGTAGGAAATGGTTAAAACCCCTGCCAGTCTGCTTCCCACCCCCTCGTTCCACTAGGGCTATTTCCCTTTACTTCCCATTCAGCAGACACAAAAAGGAATGTGAGGAAATCTCTCTACAGTGATGGAATTGCCCTCTAAGACAGCTGTCATAGGAATGTCCCCCATGGTTAAGGATCAGAACTATTATTTGATTTTGCTATAGCCCTACTGCTTCAGAGACAACTTTGTCATTACAACGAAGTAACAAATATTTTTTTTTTTTGCAAGAACAAGGTTCAACCAGGGTTTAGTGGAACTCTAGAGTTCCCCTAGAGGTTGTTAGGGGTTCCTAGAGCAATTCCTGCCTGTAAGGCAGGCATCCTTCCCCCTAAAGGTGGCAATACACTTTACAACACTCGCAAGACTTTGTCAGTTGTCGAACAAGCAGGCCACTAACTCGCCGAGAATCGTACGATTACCGGCGGGATTTCCAGCCTGCTTGTTGGACAGAAGACGTGCGACCGTACAGTAGAAACGCTCGCACGCCTTTCATACACTGCACGATTCTCGTATGATCGCGGGATTTCCAACGATTCTCGTACGAGAATCATGCAGTGTATGGGCACCCTAAGCATGCATACACTGGATGGGGCCCTTCTCTTTTCAAATAACCATGTAAGAGGGTCCTTCTACCACTGACCACCAATGTAAGACGGATAGGTCCTCCTTTCACTGACCATAAATATAAGAGGGGCACCCTTTCCAATCTAAGGAGGCCTTCTACACTGACAACCAATATAAAACAATACATTTCACTGCCTACCAGTGTAAAAGGGTCCTTCTCCATTGATCACTAATGTGAGGAATCATTACAATTGTAATTATGTTTTATTTTAGGAATTCATTATTTTTTTTCCATTTAGTTTCAAAATAATTTGATCATATACAACAAACCCAGGGTGTCAAAAATACTAACTATGCCACATTCCTTATTCTTTATCACAGATTATTAGTAGGGGTTCCCTGGTACCTAAAAGTTATTTCAAAGGGTTCCTCCTTTTTCAAAAAATTTTGAGAAAGTGTGTTGTACACAAAAGCCCATAACAGAAATAAATATATTTTTCTACTTGGAGGGGATCGATGAACGGAAGTTCGTCGACCTCCTCCCCAGCTCCCCGCGGACACAAAGATCACCGGTCCCGGGCCCGTAGGAGGGGCAAAATGAAAGGATATATGCACCTTTTCTCCCTTTGTCCTGAATAGGTGCTCTCTCCAATTTTCTGGGAGGGGAAAGGTCAGAATCAGAATCCTGACGTGTGGAGGAATAAGGGGAAGAACGGCCAAGTCTCTTAGACCCTTTCTCTACATATGGCATGCTTTTATCTGTTCCTTTCTTTGGAGAAGAGTCAGGAGAATGCATTCTGTTCTTCTGAGGCAAGTCATGTCTATTTTTGGCAGAAGGTGGACTTGGTGAATGAGGCTTTTTCTTACTGTGAGTATATGAGGCAGAGCCTGAATAAGAATTCACTTTATTTTTTCCCCAATGCTTAGCTGAAGAATCGGCAGAGTCATATCTGTTGTGTCTCGGCGGGGAATTCTTCTGATAATCACGTCTCGACACATCTTGTTGGTGTTTCCTGGGTGGAGAAGCATTTGGTCTTCCCTTCCGTGGTGGGGAGAGGTCCGGAGAACCACGCCGTCCCTTCCGTGGTGGGGAGAGGTCTGGAGAACCACGCCTTCCCTTCCGTGGTGGGGAGAGGTCCGGAGAACCACGCCTTCCCTTCCGTGGTGGGGAGAGGTCCGGAGAACCACGCCTTCCTTTCCGCGGTGGTGAAAGGTCCGGAGAACCACGCCTTCCTTTCCGTGGTGGTGAAAGGTCCGGAGAACCACGCCTTCCTTTCCGTGGTGGTGAAAGATCCGGAGAACCACGCCTTCCTTTCCCTGCCAGAGATAGGTCTGGAGAGTCGCTCCTACCTTTCCGTGATGGCAAAGGATCTTGAAGGTTGTGATTCCCTTTCCTTGGTGGGGAGGAGTCTGGAGAGGTGGACCTCCCTTTCCTTGGTGGAGAGGAGTTTGGCGACGCACACCTTCCTTTCCGTGGTGGAGAGGCATTTGGAGAGTCATGCCTCCCTTTCTGTGGCGGGGAGAAGTCTGGAGAGTCATTCTTTCCTTTGTGTGATGGGGAGGAGTCTGAAGAATCATGCCTCTTGTTCTGTGGCGGGGAGAAATCTGGAGAGTCATGTCTGCTTCTCTGGGCTGAGGAGGCATCTGGTGAATCATGTCTGACCCTGAAAGGTTTTTTAAAAAGTTTTAACCATTTTCAATTTGGTGCAAAAAAAAAAAAAGGTTTGACTTTAACTTTGTTTATGCTTTAACTTTACTCAGATTAACATTGGATGCATGCAAGGTCCACTCTCAGCTACGGAGTATCTTTTCTATGGAGAAATTTGAGCAATGCATATTTCCTCACCCAAATAGTGAGGTATTTTGAGCATTTATGATCATGTGTGTTCAGGCTCCAGTAATGTATCTGTAGGCTAATTCACACCAAATGCTCATAAACATGGATCCCAAAAACAAATTTAACACTGTCCATATTCCCAATGCGGTAATAATAAAGGTCAAATATTAAGATGATATAAAATTATCCCTTTAGATAAGCTCCAAAGCATAATACATTGCATAGAGGAAAATCAGCAGAGTTGGCATATCAACTATCAAAGTTTACAGTTTAACAACGAAATGCAATAGGGAATGCCTGCTTAACGGTCTGGTGCGTTCACATGGGGCAATTGTGGTTACACGCACATTACATGTGCTGCAATGCCATTCGCAACACACTATATAAAGAGCACCTATTTTTGTTATGCGTGTCACCACACAAAAATTAGTGCAATGCGGTCTAAACAGGCCCTTAAAGTGAGAATGGAAAGGTCTTTCTTCAAATCAACTTCTGTGGGGAGGCCCTGGCTGTACACAGGGTCTTGATTTATAGCAAAGCTAAGAAACTCAGCCCACCCCATTTTAATGCAAGGCCCCACATTCTGATTATTAAGGTCAAGCAACAGAGCCTTACTGGGCAGGCCAAGATCTGACATTTGCATTTGACAGCTGCATGACAAGGGTACAGCTAGGATGGGTTGGGGTTTCGTGTCATCTGGACCAGAAGTCAGCCTAGGCCTGGTACCCAGGCATCTCCACAATTACATCAAAATTGATTTAAAGATTAAAGCAGCCACTCACAGGGATTACAAGGTATTTGCACTTGAGCACTTTATTCGCCTAGGTACTGTATAGACCATTTTAGGTTCACTTCAAATTTTTAATGAACTTATAAAGGCAAATGAATAAACACAGTATGTTGCAACACACAATTTACCTTGATTCTGGAACTGGTGATCTGTCGGCTTCAGGAGAGCTATCATCTGTAATAAGTTAGAAGTTATTATTCTCCTTGTGCCAATACTCCTCTATTAAAATGTAGCAACAGAAACACAATACTTTGAGGTGTAAGGGTTAAGTAGGAGAAGCTTATGCATATAATTAAAACAAAAACCTATAGTAACACGAACATACCTGCAGCTTAAAGGAGAACTATGAGGCAAGTGAAAATCACTCAGCATCATAGTTCTAGCCGACCTGTGACAATGAAACTGTCACACGTCGGCTCAATAGATCGGGAAGTGAGCGAACACATACCGTTGCTCGCTCACTTCTCGATCTATCCCTGTAGAGAGCCGTGACTGTCACTCACGGCTCCCTGCAGGGATTCCCCCCCTCCCCTGTCCGATTCTCCAGCGCTGACTGGCGAAACGGACAGGGGAGGGGGCGGGTACAGCTGACTGCCTCTATATAGGCAGAGTCAGCTGTCAAGCACGCAGCTGGGTGGATCTCGACAGTAAAGTCGAGATACTCCCCAGCTGCGGCGTCTCAGTATGCCGTGAGCTGTAGCTCGTGGTATACTGAGCTTTGGGTGACGGGAGGACGCTAGTTTGTGTCCTCCCGTTACCCTTAGGAGATGGGGAAAAGCCCTGACCCCTTAGTTGTCCTTTAGAGCTGAGCTACAGGTACACAATAAAACCATCAGGAAACAGCCTAAAATGATGGCAGAGCTAATTATAAACTAAAAATATACATATGTTGAAAAATATAAATCAGTCTCCCAGGATTCTTTTGTTTGCCAGCTACCTTTAGTGTTCTATACGTCCGTCATGTTTATGCTGGTTGGATTTCTTCTTTTAGAACAGCAGCTGTAATTTGTTTTATGTTATTGCACTAAAGCACCATAATGCAATGTCCAAATAACAGAAAAGACAGATTGATGTCAGTGTGGGGTTTGTTATGTTACCTTTGATCCGCTTCCACTTGTTGCTGTTCTTAAATTCTTCCATGCGTTTCACCTCCTCAGGCCGTTCATCTACAAAATCTGCCACTAAAAAAAGAAAAGTTTCCCTACGTTATGTTATAAAACATTTATTCTTACCCATATTTTTTGTAAAACATAAAAGTCGGGGTCACGTCGGGTAAATAGACACCAAACATGCCAAGCCTTAAAATTGCGCCCGCAAAAAAATCGCCCGCCAAAATCGCCCATAGGCGACGATTAAAACGCTTTTACTGTTCATCAGTTTAGTGTTATCAGTGATTAAAGGAGAACTATGGGATTAGGGCTTTTCCCCATAGTTTTCCTTAGGTTAACGGGAGAACACAAATTAGCGTCCTCCCGTCACCCTAAACTCAGTATACCGCGAGTTAAAGCTCACGGTATAATGAGACGCCGCAGCTGAAGCGGATCCCGACAATTCTGTCTGGATCCGCCCAGCTGCGTGAGTGACAGCTGGCTCTGCCTATCTAGAGGCAGAGCCAGCTGTACCCGCCCCCTCCCCCATCCGTTCCGCCAGCGCTGGGATTATGATAAGCGCTGCGGATTATGATAAACTCTGCGGATTATGATGAGCGCTGCTGATTATGATAAGCGCTGCTGATTATGATAAGCCCTGCGGACTATGATGAGCGGACTACGATGAGCGGATTATGATGAGCGCTGCTGATTATGATAAGCGTTGCAGATTATGATAAGCCCTGCGGACTATGATGAGCGGACTACGATGAGCGCATTATGATGAGCGCTGCGGATTATAAGCATTTTGGAATTTAGCTGAAAGTGAGAAAACTCTATACACATGTGCCTGTGTTAAATTCTCATTCACACACGTATAAAGATAAATTAAAATATGTTTATTTTGAATCCTGTGTTTTATCCTGTGGAGAATAGAAGAGGACATCAGCATAAGACTGTGGAGGAATGTGAGGGACAGACGATCTCACTGGGCAGAGTCCAGCGATCACATCGCAAACACTGTCATCTCTAACTAACTGAAAACCGGAGCTTCGAGAGAGGCGGGACAGAGGCGGGTCTATGTAGATTCATATGCAGCTGAAGGGAGGAAAAGCAGTTACGGAAATAGCCGAGCGGCTGGGGGAACAGATCTCGACGCGAAACGGAATTCGACACAACACTTCGCAGAGCTCCTCCCCCTCCTCGCTGCATTCGGGGACTGAGAGGAGATCAAAGGGAGTTCGTATTATATATATATATAAAAAAAATCACACACACATTATATTGCCAAAAGTATTGGGACACCCCTCCAAATCGTTGGATTCTGGTGTTCCAATCACCTCTATGGCCATAAAATCAAGCACCTCGGCATGTAGATGCTTCTACAAACATCTGTGAAAGAATGGGTCGCTCTCAGGAGCTCAGTGAATTCCAGCGTAGTAACGTGATAGGTTGCCACCTGTGCAATAAGTCCATCCGTGAAATTTCTTTGCTAATAAATATTCCACAGTCAACTGTTAGTCGTATTATAACAAAGTGGAAGCAACTGGGAACAACAGCAACTCAGCCACGAAGTGGTAGGCCACAAAAAATGACAGAGCGAGGTCAGTGCATGCTGACGGACACAGTGCGCAGAAGTCGCCAACTGTCTGCAGAGTCAGCAGCTACAGACCTCCAAATTTCGTGTGGCCTTCAGATTGGCACAACAACAGTGCGTAGAGAGCTTCATGGAATGGGTTTCCATGGCCAAGCAACTGCATCCAAGCCTTACATCACTAAGTGCAATGCAAAGCGTTGAATGCAGTGGTGTAAAGCACACCGCCACTGGACTCTAGTGAAGTGGAAACGTGTTCTCTGGAGTGACGAATCACGCTTCTCTGTCTGGCAATCCGATAGATGTGTCTGGGTTTGGCGGTTGCCAGGAGAACAGTACTTGCCTGACTGCAATGTGCCAAGTGTAAAGTTTGGTGGAGGGGGGATTATGGTGTGCGGGTTGCTTTTCAGGGGTTGGGCTTGGCCCCTTAGTTCCAGTGAAGGGAACTGTTAAGGCATCAGCATACCAAGACATTTTTGACAATTTCATGCTTCCAACTTTGTGGGAACAGTTTGGGGATGGCCCCTTCCTGTTCCAACATGACTGCGCACCAGTGCACAAAGCAAGTCCCATAAAGACATGGATGACCAGGTTTGGGGTGGAGGAACTTGACTGGCCTGCACAGAGTCCTGACCTCAACCCGATAGAACACATTTGGGATGGATTAGAGCGGAAACTGTGAGCCAGGCCTTCTCCTCCAACATCAGTACCCGACTACCACAAATGCGCTTCTGGAAGAATGGTCAAACATTCCCATAGACACACGCCTTCCCAGAAGAGTTTAAACTGTTATAGCGGCAAAGGGCGGGCCAACTCAATATTGAACCCTACGGACTAAGACGCCATTAAAGTTCAAGTGCGGGGAGACAGAGGGAGACCGACCAAGTACCGTACTCAGTACATGTACAGATACTTCTCCAGCTCCAAGACTAGACTAAAATTCAAAACTTAGGAGGCAGCTGTCATTTGTAAGGAGCACACGGAGCTCCTGGGATTTGTGCATCTCTGTTTTAATGTATGACTTTCTTTTTTTTAAATATATATTAGAGATGCACCGATACCATTTTTTCAAGTACGAGTACTGATACATTTTTGTTTATTGTCATGTGACAGCTTTTCTAAAACAATACAGACTAATGATTGCAGGACAGTGGTGGAGCACCAGAGCCAGGTCCCAGCTGCAACCCCGGTAGTTCTCATGAAAATGCCAAGTATCGGCACTGGTATGAGCAGACAGAATCTGGACCAGTTGCCTATGCCAACCAATCGGCATCTCAGGTAAGATTTGAAAATGAGACATAGAAGCTGATTAATTGCAATGCAAATCTGCTCCAGATTTTTGATAAATTCTCCCCAATGTATGTCAAGCCCCCACTACCCGGTAGCTAAATCTCTACATTTGCCTAGCTTGGCTATATTGGGTTTTACAACTGGCACTTAAACAACCAATAACCACAAACGATTTGTCATTTTAGTCAGATGTACTTGGGATTAATAAGCAATCAGGAAGATCACTTTACTGGTGCAAATTGTGATTCATTATAAGCAGACTGAAGGTGGAGATGAAACATAGGAAAGCTGTGCGGACTGAACAAGGAAACGGAGTTCACTCAAAGTGAATCTGTGGCCAGGCTATAGACGTTTTGTCTTTATATAATCTTAACCAGAAGAAAATTAGCTTTAAAAACATGTCCTCACTTATCTATGCAACTACAGATTCTATGGAGAAATTCAACCTCAAATGTCACAGCAGTACCACAGAAGTCCATAAACTTGTTTTCTCAGCAGCTCAGCTCACCCTGCTCCCTCAACTTGCAGTGTTTTGCCAGCCTTCCAATACCTAATATAAAACACACAGTAGGTGCTCTGGGAGGGGGAGCAGAGTGAGTTGAGCTGCTGAGAGAAGAACTTCAGTACTTCTACTGTGAATTTCAAAGATGAATTGCTTGAAAGCAAGGGTGTCAAACTCAATGTAATCGTGGGCCGCATCAACAATATGGTTACCCTCAAAAGGTATCTGTAAGACTATATAAATGTATCCAATATTTATCATAATTGCCTCTGCATTCGATTATCACTGGTTTTAGTAATAACTTAATACCTAGATCTGAAAGTAGAAGTCTAGGAAATGGCCTGGTGGGCTGTATTCGGCCCCTGGGCCTTGAGTTTGACGCATGTGCTCTACAGTGTCTGCAGCTACAGAGGTCAGTGTGGACTTGTTTTAACACCCACTTATAGCGTGTTAAGAATACATAATTACTGGAATGTCCATAGCATGGTCAGAGTTTCTCTTTAAGGATAGAGTCATAGATGCCTACCAATGGCTTGTCCTCTTCCTCTTCTACAACCTCCTCTTTGACCTTGGGCTCCTTCTTCCAATCGTCAGCATCATCATCTACTATCCGCATTCTGCAAGAAAACATTCGAGAATAATGACCATGCCACCGCAGGCATTACATGTTACTCTTTGGTTGGGGGTACTGCCTAAGAAAAGCATGCATACCCCTCAAGATAAAAACAAGTCAACCAATGAAAGCAGACTCTGAAAATGTTGCTATACCCATTTTCCTAAAGTAAGCTGCTCACACCAGCACTGGGTCATGTATCCGAGTTCTTGACAGTGGTCACATGGTTACTGCCAAAGGGGAGGATGACATGTCAGGTCCAGTCACCAATAGGCTGGGTGTGCACCAGTCCACACATGACTGATTACTGATAATCATGTGACCCAGTGCAAGAGGGTGTCTGGCAGGATGTTTACCACTGACACCCACATTGTTATTTTAATGTTACTGGTGGAGGAATGCAGTATATTCAACATTCCAAACTGGCTGCAGAACTACAAGGCAAAAAGAGGCAATAGCATGCCGGCACTATAAGGAGCGGGGTGGGTATGCCGGCACTATGAGGAGCGGGCAGGGTATGCCGGCACTATGAGGAGCGGGCAGGGTATGCCGGCACTATGAGGAGCGGGCAGGGTATGCCGGCACTATGAGGAGCGGGGTTAAAGAACCAGCACTACTGGCTCTGCCCTATCACTCCCAACGTCTTTCCCCCAGGACTCACCCTTTCCCTTCCGGTCTCTTCTTCTTCCTCTTCTTCTTGGTGGCCCCATCTTCCCCTCCTGAGCTCCCTCCATCCAGGTATCGCTTTAGATATTCCGCCCTGGAAATCCCCGGAACGTTCCCTCTGAGCGCCGCCATCATGCTGGAGTCGGAAGTTGTCAGAACGATTACTTCCGGGTGAGCGAGCACTTCCGGTGTTGAGAAAAAAAAGGCGGAGGGGTTGGGTCCTGTGTTTTGTTTTGGTGTCTGCGAGAGGGTTTGTTTTAGTTAATGCCGATTTCTGTCACAAACACGGCGCCCTGGCACTGAATTGCGGCCGGGTGTGTTGCACTGCCATCGTGACTTTGTTCTATACAGAGCCGGTCTTCTATCGAAAGTTCCAACTCCTCGAGTTCTCCAACCATCTGACTTCCGATTTAGTTAGAACTAAGAGGTTTGGCCAATAAAGCTCTTCTGCACGAGCGCCAGAACACCGGAGCTGAAAGAGCCGCTTTCCTAATGTGTCACTCCACAACAGGAAACGTACAGCCGGTGAAGTCTACAGTGGTCATGTGTGTTTCTTGTAGTTCAGTGGGACATACAGGTAAATGATTAGGGTGAGAGCCCTGTGGACTGCTCCTTTAAAGTATCAGTCATGACAGTTCCTCATCTCCATCCTCCTGCTTTAAATTTAAACTGCCATGTGCCAGTCCTTTGCAGCGGCACATGTAGCCATAGGTCTGCTGGTTAGTTTAGCGGATTCGTGACCCCACATAACTGGCCATTGGTTGTGTTGTGCCAGTCCCAGTAATAAAGATTATTTGTAACGTTTCAAACACTTTGCTACCTTATCAGTGCGCTTTATAGCTGAACTTTGTCCTTATCGAGTCTCTTTCCGTCATTACATATGTTGTGGGGCTGTTGGCCCTGCGTTGTCATTGATGACCTCAGCTTGAGACCGCCAGCTTAGAACTCTATAAAGAAGAGGGGGTGGGGGGCTAGTTGCATAGCAAAGTGATGACTAATAATGTGTCCTCAGGGATCAGTCATTCTCAGGGTTCTTCATGGATAGTCCTCGCTCTGGTAAGGTTGACCTCTGACCTGGCAGTTCTTCCAGTCATGCCCCCCTACGTTGGTCCTACGGGGATAGGTGACGTGAGGCTTAGAGCCTTCTCTAGCCTGGGGAGACTCTGGTCTTGTTTACTAGTACATCATTTTCAGTTAATTTGCCCTATACCAGTCTCTGGAGAGGTGTTCCTTATGGTTGGATTGAGTCTTTTCCTGTTGGGAAGTTGTTTTGTTCCATCTCCTCAGAGCAGTTCTGTGTTTATGGGTTCCGCCATGAGTATGTCTCCTCACTAGTGTCAGTATTCTCGGTCTTCTTCATCAGGATTAGTTCCTGTACCATTACCCCCTTGGTCTGCGCCCCTTCTTACCAGGTTACCTCATCCAGTGCCAGCTTTGGGATTACATTCTTTAGGCAGCTCTCGAGCTGCACCCTGTCCCCAGTTCTTGCGGTTGCCCACCCCTCTGTTGTACTGCTTTTAAACGTCATGACTGTATACCGCTTTCTGTCTCTTTCAAAGGGCGAGAAAGCAAAAAGGATTTTTTTGTACTCGGCGTGAATTCCTTTTTTTGGAGTCCATTGAGGTACACAGATTCCACCCCTCTGTGTTCATGCTCTTGGTACCGCTTTCTTACCAAACAAAGACATGATGGGTGTAGATGGGATTATTCTGGGCTGGACTACATTTGTTTTTTATATGCCATTGTCCAAACCGCCTATAGGCAGCTGTATAACCTGACTGTATATGACGTCCTGTGTCCTTCAATGGACTCCAAGAAAAGGATTTTAAGGCGAGTACACAAATTCTAATGTAATCCTAAATGGGGCCAGCAGTAGGAGCCAATAAGATTCTGCTGAAATGGATATGTGCTACCTGCAAGCATGATGATAAGAAACAGAAGAGTATTGATAACCTTCCAGTACTGGGTATACATTCTCAACCATTTTTGCTGCTGGACTGAAAGCAGAGGTGCTTGTTTAAAAAGACTGGCTGAACAGAATTACAAATCTTTTAAAGGTAAAACTTGGGCAGCCAATCATGAGGTGTGGGTGTGTGCCTCACAAGTGGCACATACTAAAGGGAGCCTGAAACTGAAATTAAATTAGCAAATGCATTTGAAGATACAATATGGAGGATCATATGCCGAGAACCCTCCGCCTGAAATCTATATATGTGTAGGAAAAATGGACTTAAGTGACAGAAAAAATAATTACTCATCCTGACGCCTGTGCCTCATGCAGAGTTACAGCAGCTGAAGGATCTTCAGCACCCAACCATTTTCCAATGTACATAACTGTTATAGACATGTTGGGCCATAATAAACAAGTGTTTATTTCTGAAATAGTTCTGCCCGCGTGCTAAATACTTTTTGCACCTTAATGATATAATATGCTTTACAACATTCACCCAACAAAACCTGGGGCACGCAGAGCAGAATGCCTACTGTGATCAACAAGAGCCATGATATCTACATGTCCAGTGTAGGACCAGTAACAGCCTTCTCCATGACTTGGTGGACACTAAAGCAAGCCATACAAGTGTAGATTTCTCGATTTTTAAGAAAACTACTCAATTCCCCATCCAAGTTAAATAGCCCAGATGGTAGAATCTCCCATTGACTATTGTATTCAGACAGCTGCGATACCAGGATCTGTATGAATGTAGACTGCATCTCATTGAATACAGTCTGGCCCACAATGTTCCATCAGGAATTTTAAGTCTTAGTTTTGTCGAACCGGATGGTGCCACAAGGGCCACCCACAGCTCAAATGTGGCCAAATATTCAAGCCATGGGTGGCCTTAGTAGGGGTTGACCAATATCATTTTTTTGAGAACCATTACCAATTGTGGGCCACCTTTCAGGCTGATAACCAATATCAGGTGGTGATATTCTGTTTACATTCAGCTGTGGAACCTTGCACCGGCAGATAAACACATAGCTTGGTCTCCGGTAATTGGGCTGTGTTCATCTGCCGCCACTAGATTCCATAGCCGTCAGCTGAAGGAAAACAAGCTGTGGGTGGGAACAATAGCCAGCCTGCTAATTCGAATTGCAATAGCAGGTTGGCTATTGCATCCGCCCACTGCCAATCAGCAGGGGAGCGGACCTGGGAAAGAAATTTCTCTATCAAGTCCGCTCCTCTGCTGATTGACAGCTGCCGGGTGCAATAGCCAGCCTGCTATTGGCTATTTCAAATTGCAATTGCAGGCTGGCTATTGCTCCCGCGACTGCCTGCTGTTTACATTCCATTCAGCTGTAGAATCTAGCCACTGGCAGATGATTAGGGCTGCAAGGGGGAAAGCCGTGGGGTGCGGGAAGTCAAGACATAAAATCGGTTAATGTAAGACCGATATCGATTAAAAAAAATGTGAATATCAGCCATAATAAACCAGTAGATCCAATAATCAGTCGACACCCACTTCTTGGCACCACCCCGCTCGACAAATAGATTCAAAAAGTGAACGAGTCATGTGAAAATGTCAGCCAAACAGCAACTGCATCTACTCCATCCTCACTGGCGTGATCGGAGAATCAAGTAATTTTCTCTCTACATCAAGTAGCAATCAGAATTGGTGCATTGCGATCAAACACAATCAATTGCTGCTACACCATATGAAGACATTTGTTATATTTGTTTAGATAGCAACTGTTACTCGGTGATGTCACTCATGATTTTAGTAGGAGTAGAATTCTAATGATCACTCCTTCCTCGTTCTAGCCTTAGCGCGTGTGTTCACATTTCTTTATAGAAAAGAGAATTGTGGAAAAAATGTTAACACACAAGTGTGTAGTAATTGCTCATAAAGAGGTGCTCATTCTCTAATTAACCCCTACATGGCGTAGTTGATACAAGCCATACTTGAAGCAATCACATCACCTGCAACTCTGGGGAAATGTATGGCCAACCAAGAACCATAATATTCAAAAGATGAACAAAGTGAGATCCAGGAAATAAATAGGGTCGTCATAGTTGATCTCCAAATATAATACTGGGGGGAAAAAAATATTGACATTTCAAAAGTATCACAGCTTCATCAAACAATCTTAAGGCCCCGTTCACATTGAGCGATTTATCGCGCGGTAATTCCCGCAATATCGCAGCAATTTGCCGCGCGATATCGCTCTCCAATGCTTCTCAATGGGGCAAAGGGTCCTGCTGTCGCGGGTCGTGTGTCGCTACAGCAGGACCCTTTTTGGAGCGGATTTAGCCGCGATTCAAGCCTGCTCAATGCAAGCATTTGCGCGATATCGCGCAAAATGCAAATCGCGTGATTTGTGAACCGCTCAATGTGAACGGGGCCTAATGGTTTTTATTAAAATAAAAAAAAGTGTACAAGCTTATGCTAAATACCCATAACAGCCCTGCATCATGCACTGCTGTGTATATTAACTACTTAAAAAGGTTACTAGATGTTCCTTTCTGGGAAGATTTTAAAGCTAGGAGGTGCACCAAAAAGGAAATTTTGAGACCGAAACCAATAAAATAATAAAAGGTCAGGCCGAAACCAAATTTTTTTTTTTTTTATATAGCCCGACCTCCTGTGACATGGACGATGACAGCGCTCTCCTCCCCTCCCCGTTTGACCTCCTGACAGTTTCTCTCTTTCCCGCTGGATGCTGCGCTGTGTCAAGAGGGGAAACAGAGCAGTGCCTGGCGGGAGGAGAGAAACTATGGCTGCACCGCAATTTTGTCCAAAAGATGTCATTTTGCCCAAAATTCGATTTTCGGCCGATATATTTCGGCGGCTGAAATTTCGGTGCATTCCTATTTAAAGCCCAACTAAACTTTGTTTAAATCAGCTAAATATATTCCAGGTATATATTAACAGAGGTGTTTCAAGTCTTGCATTGTTTCCTTTAGCAGGCAGCCATAAGCCCAAGTTACAACACTTGTACCCTGCCAGGATGCTGCAGAGCAGGACCTTACCCCAATATATTCACATAGAGATGTCTGCAAAGGTTTGATGTACCCTCACTGAGTCAGAGCTAGAACTCTCCAAGCAGCAGGGAGCATGAGCTTTGCCGATTGCTGAGCTATAGTTTTTGACTCAGCAGGAGGCATGCTGAACCCCGGTAGAGAGACCACTGCTTCCACACAGAGGGTAAAGGTCCTTCTCTACAGCATGCTGGCAGAGGGCAGGCTTTTCCACTTAGGCTAGACAATTTACAAACTGTAAAGACATTACACATTTTGTTTTGATGCTCCTGGACTGTATTTAACCAAATTGAACTGACAAGGATTTACATTGCACAGACCACTGTCAAACCAAAGTATAAAACCAGAGTGGCATTGGGCTATTACAGGTACCAGAGGCTCCAGCAGATGCCTTAAATATCCAATATCCACATCTATCATTCATTTACTCCAATGAACTCATTTCCTTATACATGCATAGATACTTTCCTTGACTTACCTTCCTCAATGAAGCTTACAAGTTTTCTATATACTTCACGGGAAGACCATACATGGTTACACACAGCTGTAATGTACACGTTTATTTATAACTGCAGCTTTAAAAAGAATTAAAATAAATACAACCTAAATACAACCATATGGTTCCACACATCAACTTTAAATGTGTAAAACCATACCGGCCTTTTAGAAAAAAAAAGTATGCCCAGCTGTCGGGTCTCTGTAACTATCAGGAGCGCATTGGCTTTTTGAACACTCCCCAGCAGGGGGAAAAGCCAGGGTTTAAAAAGACAACAAAAAAAAGAAAGTGTGAAAAGGTTCTAGATTAAAGGAGCACTCAAATTAAAAAGCTGTTTCTTCAGCACACAAGTGATATAAATACATTCTGCTACATGTTGGGCTGTAGGAGTCACTGCCTAATCTCTTGTATGTCTTTACACAACATAAGGGGCGTCCCAGCTGTTATTTCTTGTTCCATCTTCTCCACTGACTTCTATTGCGCGCATAGGTAGAGATTGGCATGCATCTAGTCCAATTGCAATAGTCACTGTATTATAAAGGTCTTCCAGATGATACAGATTTTTTTTTCTGAGTTTGAACATTGTGCAGAGGAATTCTAGTTGCTTTTCTTCTCATCCTCTTCATAGCCTTCAGTTTTCATATCATTGAGTCCAAGATCTTCATTCTGTTCGAATGATCGTTCATACTTCTCTATTGTCATTTCTGGATCTTGTTCTGGTGCATAGACATTCTACAATAAAAAAGGGAGGGGAAAAAAAAGACAAGTCAACATGGAGCAATACGGCTGGCCCTCAGAAGAGCAGAACCTAACCACTATCCCTTTTGTCCAGACCCTTTTCTCAGTGCTCCAGTGACTGCCATGAGTATAGGTCTCTCATTAGGAGAGAATGGGGCTGTAACACCTTTTTTCTTCTTTTGACAAAAGGCTGTGCAGCTTTGAGCAGGATTAAACAGTAAATATTGCTGGTCCAGGGCTGAAGATACCGATATTTTGCCTTCTCTACCGGCCAATACCAAGTACCGACACCGGTGCTTCCACTGGCATGAAGACGGCTTCCCGGGCAATCAGGAAGCCAGGCATTAACATGCCGACCAGCTTCCTGATTGCTCGGGAAACTGGCTACATGTCGTTTGGCAGGCTCGATAAGGAAGCCGGGTGGCGAGCAATGACCTGCCTCCCGGCGTCCCGATTGGCCGGAAAGCTGGCTTCCCAGGCAATCGACATTGAGCTGGCTTCCCGGCCAATCAGCATGAAGCCGGCTTCGCAGCCAATCAGGAAGCTGGGAGGCCGGCTCCATGTTACATAGTATTTGAGGTTGAAGACACAGGTCCATCAAGTTCAACGTATGTATGTACATAGAGAGAGCACGATATCCCTACTATACTGCCGTTCAGAGAACATCTTGTTCCCCCAGCACCTAACTGCTCAGGCATCAAGCACTACACAGAGAGAGGGAGGCTGTACATTTGAGCCCTATATCCAAAGAACCATGCATCTTTAGGGGTCCTAAGTGAATGCATTAAGGATTTTAAGGAGATGGTATTACTGTGTCAGCTCAAAACTTCAATGTATATAAGCACTAACTGTTCAAATCAGAGAGCCAATATGACTATGTCTTTTATTCCAACACAGTTTGTATAGTTACTCATAAATGTAATACCGACAACTAAGACTAACACCTTACAGATACATAGGTGAGGGGGCTCTGTAGTAATGCCTGTCCATGATGGAAATATATGCAACAAATGCTACTTTTTTTTAATCTATAGATTAGGGAAATTAAATGGTCTCAGAAGTGAGACAAAAACACTAATTCAGTTCAGTTACAGATCCATGACAAGTCATGAAATCCATTTTAATTTTGGTTGGTATCAGTCTTTTGTAATCCACAGCACTCAGATTTGAGGAGGCAGGACCAGCTCTAAAAGCCAATCAGACTGGTTTATTGTATATGCTGATGAACCTACTAAACAGGAATATAAAAGCAGGTTGGAAATTTTTATTAGAGATGCACCAAATGGAAATTCTAAAACCGAAAAAA